GGTCGTCGTGTCAAACACGATGGTCGTCGTGTTGAACACGATCGTTGTCGTGTCCGACACGCTGGTCGTCGTGTCAAACACGATGGTCGTCGTGTCCGACACGGTCATCGTCGTGTCGAACATGATGGTCGTCGTGCCGAACACGATCCTTGTCGTGTCGAACACGCTGGTTGTCGTGTCGAACACGATCAGCGTCGGGTCGAACACGATCTCCATCGCGTCAAACATGACCGTCGTCGTGTCGAACGCTCTCGTCCTCGTGTCCGGCTCGTTGTCATGCACGGCCGTCGTCGTGACCGACGTCGTGTCGAACACGGCCGTCGTATTGTCGAACACGACCGCCATCGTATCGAGCACGACCGTCTTCATGTCCGACACGATCGTCGACGATGGTCGTCGTGTCCTGCACGATGGTCGTCGGGTCGGACACGGTGGCCGTCGTGCCGAGCACGGCGGTCGTCGTGTCCGCCACGGTCAAACGCGGTCTTGGTCGTGTCGAACACCCTGCTCTTTTTGGCCACGACCCCCACCTACGTTTCGACTTGCACAGAGTTTAATGCGAGTTGCGCCAGCAGAACATAGTGCCCGGGTGACTGTCTTTTGTCTCTTGTAGCACTGATTGCTTATTGCGAGATTGCGCCACGACCCCCACCATGTAATATACAATGGAGCTCCTATCGTGTTGGGCGCGACATTGGCGTTGCCGCAGTCGTTTGCCTTCTCAGCCTGGCTATCTGGAAATCCGTCGTGCGTCATGGAATGAACTCTACGCGAATTTTGCTTCGAATCCTCGGAGTCTGGTACGCGGGAATCAAGACGGGGAACCCTTCCGTGTTGGGCGAGGCGGTCGCGTTGCCACGATGGTTTTCCTGCTCACTCGTGGCAGTTTTCCTGCCCGCTCTTCGTGGGTGGTGAGTACCACGCGTGCCGGGAATCAAGATGGGGGACCCTTCCATGTTGGGCGAGGCGGTCGCTTTGCCACGATGGTACGGTCGCGTTGCCACGATGGTATTCTTGCTCACTCGTGGCAGTTTTCCTGCCCGCTTTGCGTGGGTGGTGATTACCACGCGTGTCCAGTCGCTGCAGTTCCTGGAGTAATATAGAATCTTTCCTATCAATGTTCTTGTGCCAAGCTGTGTGCTGCGCGCCAGAGTCTTCGCCGATCCGCTGTTGGTGCCCGCTGGGTTTTGCACGCCGTGGTCTCTGCCTTTCCGAAGCTGGTGCCCGACGTGACATGTGCTGCGTTTCCTGTTGCGCGTCAAGATCTCCGCCTTTTCAATGTTGTTGCACGCTGTGTTTCCAGTTGCTGGTGCCCCGACTCGACATGTGCTACGCTTCCCACTGTCGTTCGATCTCCGACTTGGACAAACTCTTTCGCGTGTATTGCGCCTTTGGCACGGATTGGGCCTGACGACTGGATTGCCACCCTGATTCCATGGTCGTGTGTTATCCTCTCTCGGATGTTTCCTGTTCCCCTCCGTCCAGTGTAGGGCTGTGTTTCTCAAGGTCATTTGTACGGCTGTGTTTCTTACTGTTGTGTAGGGATGGTTGTCTGCTCCATTTCATTAACCTCTGATTTTCGCCTTTTGACAGTGGTCCGCTGTTTTGTTGTCGCATACACGTCTCATGCATGGCTTGTGGTGTGCATGCTATGCCACAGCAGACTTGCAGCACAACCTTGGAAAGCATGGACTGTGTGGCGTCTAATACAATGCTCAATGAGGATTTTCCTCCACCGCACCTGCCATTTTGTTCACAAGATGTTCGAAGTGGTCACGAACATGTCGATAATGCTCCAGAATCTCCTGCTCGTAAGATGTCACGAAATATTGCGTGTGCGGACACTACATGTGAAAGTGTGTATCCCGTCCTTCGATGCCCGGTTCGAACCTGTGAGCAGAGAGTGCTGAAGGTTAGGAGGGTAAGACCTCCTCTACTGACAATGACGCATCCGATGTCGATCGTGTTGTATGGGTGCCGAGGAGTTCACTTCGATATTTCGAGTACACAGGTCTTCTGTTTGGTGAGAGTGATGAAGGTGGTTCAGATTCAAGTGCTTCGGTGTCGTCTAGTGCTGATAGTTCTCCAGATAAAACCGATCTTCCACAAACGTACGCTGACCGGAACAGTGACCACTGTTGTCGAAATGACGATGAGAATTGTGACGTGATCTCTGATTTCGATGACATTTTTCCAAAACGTCTGTCCTCAGAGAAGCGTCCTTATACTTTTCGTCTCAGAATGCCGCGGTCAAAAAAGATTCTGCAATCAGTTCATAGAAAACTCACAAAAAAAACACTGGCGAGTGTGTGTGGGCAGGTTTGCTGTAAGTGAGAGTGTTGCGCTCAGATGACCCTGGACGACATCAAAGCTGTCCGGAGCGCATACTACTCTAAGAACTAGCAGAGCAGGGATGCGTGGTGGGTTGAAACGTTGAAGAGGTTCACCTTCATAGAAGATGAAAAAGAGATTGTTCAACCTATTGTGGGGAGACGAAAGGTATGCATTAGTGCTTGGTGTTTCACACTGGGTGTATGTAGGAATACATTTCTAAAAAAAAGGATGACTTTGTCAAAAGGCTACAATATGTCGGAGCATGGCAGTACTGGACTCAGACGCACATCAGCAACATATGCGACGATGGACGGGAAACTAAGCTTCTTCGTGCGAGACAACGGAGATTCCATGCCCAATGACATGAAGATCAAAGAGGGGGAATCAAGAGTGGTGTTGAGATTGCCTGCTTGCTATAACAAGGTTGATATTTATAAGTTGCTACAGTCGCAATTCGACAACGTGGGTGCTCCTTGTGTTTCTCTCCAAGTTTTTTACAACATGTGGAGAACGCAGTTTTGGCATGTGAAATTCCAAGACATTGATCAAAACTTTGCGAAATGCGAGAAATGTGTTGAATACAAAGAATCTATCAATTCCGTAAAGTTCGTGCTGTGCGTGAGTACTTTGTTTCGTTACGCGAGAAACACTTGGACTTGCAGCTCCAACATCGTGTTGCGTATGAGGTGTGGAAGGATGAGTCGAAGAGACCGGGTTCCAACAGTTTGTGCATCATCATTGACAGCATGAACCAAAGCAAAACCAACATTCCACACTTTGGCGAAGAGAACAAATCGAAGGCATTCGCAAATATTCCGATGTTGAAAACGAATCTAACAGCTATTATTGCACACGGTCTCTCACCATCGGTCCATGTTCACACATGGTACCCTTGCTATCCACATGATTCTAATGCTGTAGTGTCATCCATTATGAAAGTTCTCCGCGACATCCAGACGACGAATGACTTGCCTCCTAAACTGAGGATACAAGCTGACAACTGTTGGAGAGAAAACAAAAACAGATACGTTTTGGCACTCGCTACAACTTTGGTGAAATTTGGCTTCTTCAAAGAACTCGAATTCGGTTTTATGTTAGTGGGACACACACATACGGGCGTTGATGCCACTTTCAGTCATTTCTCTCGCAAACTGAAAATGCACGATGCATATACCATGCTCGACCTCTTCAAGCTCGTTGCCAGTTCTAAAAAAGAACGTTCATCGTGCACATTCATGGATGAAATTGCTGATTGGCGAGCTGCTGTTAAGCCCTTCCTGGTCAAGAGACTGACCGGTCATACTCGTCCACAAGCATTTAGGTTTTATATGCAGGATGACAATCCTGTGTTCCAGTGGAAAGAGTATTGCACTTCTCCTGAATGGTCTGCTCCAGTCTATTGCTTTAAACGAGATGAAAACAAAGCATTTGCTGGACCCGAATGACCATTCATGCCATCACCTGTTCCGCCGTCAGCTTCTCTGCCTACTAAAGATAGGAATTCGGATTTCAAATCGGGAATTGAAGGTGTGAAGACGTTTGTTGGGTGGTTGGAGAACAAGAGGCACGAGTGGTTGGGAATGAAAGATGAGGTTAGTTTCTCAAAGGAGAGTGTTCTTTCACACTGGAAAACTTTCCTCGAGACAGTCGAGGAGCATTACGGGTCTGGGTTTGCGAAAACTTCACTCAAGGCTGACTTCTGGCCCTCACAAGACAAAATTAAGAAGGATGATCCAAATGATATTGATATTGCCTTCCTCTTGAAGAGCAATGAGAATAAGGAGCCGTTGTTCGTTGGACCGACCAACGAGCGTCCAAAGGCGGAACTCAACCCAGTTGTGGATGTCGAAAAAGGTCAATTTGTTCTCTTGCGTCCTTCCCAAGATGATATCGATGAGGGAGTTCCTGTATGAAAGGGTAGAGTCATTTCCGATGTAGACAACGATATGAAGTCGCTAACTTTCAATCATATTCTTATTGAATATTGGGTGCCACAACCTATTGCTAAACGTCTTTCTGTGCAATATTCGAACGCATGGAAGAAGACATGAAAGAAAGACAACACAACATCACAGCAGTGGCAGCATGTAGACTGTGTTGTGTGGAGCTGGACATCCAAGAGATTGCATTTAGAAAATGAATTGCATATTCCAAAATCGGCCAGAGAGAAGGCCTTGGTATGCCTTTCATTTTCCGATAATGAAGATCAGTAGGTTTTCAATAGGTTTTGAAGAAAAGCTAATCGTAGTTCTTTACACGTATTAGTACGTTATTTAGTTGTCATTGAGCTTTTATTTATATATATTTAAACTGTATTTTCATGTGTTGCAGAATGGTTCAACCATTTGTGACGACTGAATGACCGCCAAGTAACATGGTGTGGGGAAGAAATATATGGCATGATATGGGTCCAGTTTTCTTCATATCTGAACTGATTTTTGACAGTGCAGTACTCAGTGTTAGAGGTGTGGATGCCCCACCGGAAGATTGGGAACATTCTCCTCGAGAATCACTCTATATTTGTGGTCGGAGGTGTTGTGGAACGAGAACATACCCGCGAGAAGTGCTCGCACCCTTTTCGAAATTGTATTATTCAACAGTCAAATTCTGCCACAACAATTTGAACGTGATGACCTTGTTTTGTGCAGCGACAACTGTTCGAGGTCGGTGCAAAATATCTTTCCTTATTTATAATGACTATTCTACAAGTGCAAGTGTTTCCAATGCAGACAACATCGATGAACGACGACGACAAGAATTCCGAAGGAGGATCATGACACTCATGGATGGGCTTGTGGACACGGCCATCAAATATTTCCGAAGTCTCATGCTGAGCAAATATGAAGTAATAGAAAGTTATATAGAGTACAAGGACCCGACGTTTGACGGACAAACTAATACCATCATTGTAGAAGATTGGACAACTTATACAAGGACAGACTGAAATGTTGTCTTGATCGCAGACTGAAATGTTGTCTTGATCGCATTAGTTTATCTTTGTAGTCGATCTAGTTACTAGGCTTGTTTTGCCTATTTTCGGAGTGTCGTTTGTGCTTTGCATTTAATTTTTTTTTTCCTCTTACTCGGTCAATGGCCTTGAGACATCATCTAAGTT